CCTCTGCCTCTCACCTTCACTGTGTTATGCCTTTCTTGAGCGTATCTTCCCCTGCCAGTGAGGTTTGTGCTGAGCAATAGAAGGGCTTGTGCTGCTGCTGCAGTGATTCTGCCTTTCCTCTGCACCTCTAAGCGAGGCAGAAAACCGTGAGTCAAACTGAACTGGTATGACCAGATGAGCTGCTTGTGCCAGGGGATGTCCAGTTACTCAGCTGGCTCTGTCCCGTGTGCTACCTGTCTAATGCCACCTTTAGACTACTGTGACAGCGTTTCCTCAGAGCTGAGACCTCCTCCACACGGTAAATATCCCTGCAAAGACAAGGGAAGGGCTGTCCCACAGTGCCAGTGCCTCCTGGTTGTTCCAGGGCTGCTTCCTGCTCACCAGAGCAGCCTGAAGTGCCCGACCTCCAGAACAGGTTGTAAGAGAGTTTGTTGTAGAAAGACCTTGGAAAGCTGGGTGTGGGGGGCAAGGAAACATCCAGAAGTAACAGGGGAAACCGAGTGTGTGTTGTGCTTCCCAGGTTAGGAGGGAGGCTGCTGCTCCTTCCTGGTGTTTAAGGACCACACAGCTCAGGTTACTGGGAAATGGTGAAAGCAGTGGGAAGAACCAGACTCAACCTCTCCTGTTCCCTGAGGGTGGTGGCTCCTGGAGATCCCCGTGTTCCCTGACAGGGCTCCTTGCTGCTGAGTCATCCTTTCCTGTCTCAGGCCCTCTTGGTTTTTCGTTCCAGATTTGGCCGTGCAAATATCGGAAGAAACACCGGCAGATGTGATGGCCCGGAATATGAGGCGGCACAGCAGCGCAGGTAACGGACCTGGAGGGGGGCCTGGGCTGCAGGGGCATCACAGCAGTGAGGGGGATGCCCTGAACCTCCCCTATTTCATGTGCCTCCAGTTTCCACCCTCCACAAAGGCTGAGCTGACCCTGCCCTTTAGATTCCCCTCAGTTCTCTTGGGCTTCGGGAGCGACGGGAGCTCAGGGGACTCCCTGGGTTGGTGGGTCCTTCTGAAAAGGATTGAAATCCAAGTATGGGGCATTCTCTGTCCTTCCACAGTATTTGTCCTGGGAGCTTTCAGTCTCTGTGTGCCTTGACAAAGTTTGGGGCTGTATTTGGGGTGTGACTGCCGAAGGTCACAGCTGGGTGAGACTTGGGAACAAAAGGAACTGTGCAAAAGGGAAGCAGGGGAGAGTGATGGGTTGTCCCCCTGAGCTCTGATCCTCCCAAAAAGCAGCCTAGGGCTAAAGGACAAGTTTCCTCCTGCATAATAACAGATCTGTCCTAGGAGATGGCTACAATACAGGCAGGGTTGTTCCCTGCCCGTGGGCTTTTTGTGGCTTTCTCCTCCCTCATGATACACAAAGCCTTTTGTGGCAGCTCCTTCCCCACCTGCCAGGTGCTCCACTGCTGTGCTTCACCCTGGCTAACGTCACCATCTCTTCTCTCTTCTCTCCAAGGCTCTCCAACGAGCAGAGATTCCTCTTTCCAAGACACAGAGACTGACTCGTCTGGGGCACCTCTGCTTCAGGTGTATTGTTAAAGGACCCAAGCAGCAGGCAGGCATTCCAGGGCTTTGCTGCAGTCACATTCCTCCTCTTTCCATATGGAATGTGCTAGGCCACTTTTTTTTTCCCTCCCCAGTCTACCCTGATCCTTTATTGAAGCCAAATTCCTCCTGCTGCCTGAATTTCACCAGATATTTTGGGTTTTTTTGGACATTATAGAACATCAAGGAGGAGAACTGTGGAGCTAATGAACTTGGGAGGCGGAGTGTGTGCCCAGGGAGGAGAAGATGGACAAGGAAGTATCAGATGACTTGTGCCTCTGTGATTTCTGTAAATCACGTTGAGCTCCAGCAGCCTCAGTGGCCCAGCCCTTTCCCTGCTTTGGGGATCTGTTGTACAGTTCTTGCTTCCTGGCACTGCCTGAGTTAACTTGGGTAGGGAATAACTGAGGGGTGTCTCTGTGTTGGTGCTGATGCTGAGGCTCTAGAGACCCAAATCCCTCTCTAGGGACCCAAATCTCTGTTTAAAGTGGCTGGGTTGGTCCCCAACAGACCTGCGTGCTCCACCCGTGGTGTTTGCAGTAGCCAGATCTGCCTTATCCCTGCTGACCCTTGGTGTCATCTCCTGCTGCCTTGTGAGGAGAAGGTTCAGCTAAAGGGGTTAATTTAATTTTTTGCCTCTTGGTGTGTCTCCTGAGACACGGGAGGTGGGATGGCTGCTCAGCTGCTTCCTTCACCCCCCCCTGAGCAGACCACGGGCATCAGCTCTGCCAGCCTGATGTGAACTAAAGCTGTGAGGTGTTCCCAGGTACACACTGACCTGTGACTTCCCTGCCAGTCACAGCTCTTCCTCACTCTTCTGCCAAGCCCCCCACGTTTCCCATCACACTGGGGAAGCCTGGAACCAGGGCTGTGGCAGGTGAGGGAAAAACAGTTTGTTTTTAACTTCTTGCGTTTGCTAGAAAGTGCCTTAAAAGTGGCTTGCTTTGAAAGGAAAGGCTCCTGAGAGTGTCTGCAGAGGGTTTGTGAGGCACTGCTGGTCCTTTCCTTCCCCTCAGCACCTTCTCCTTCCCTTTGCTCCTCTCCACCAGGCAGTGGGAAGCAGGAGATGGGGCATTGCTACCCCCAGGGCACAGTGCCAGGTGACCTTGAGGGCTGCAGCACTGCAGCAGGAGGAAGCTGGATCTGTGGTGTTGCCACTTGGTTGTTTATCAGAAAGTAAACACGTGCAGCCACGGGACTTGTTTATACTTTTGGGTGTCCTTGGACATGAATAGAAAACACTTGGTTGAATTTACCAGCCGTAGAATGAACACACCCACTGGTTTTGGGGGAGAGGGAACCCAAAATAGGCCCTGTGCTTTGGTGTGGACCATGTTTGTGTGCCTTAGTTGGGCTGGAATGCGCTTTAATTGAACTGAAAGGTGCCTTAATTGAACTGAAATGTGCCTCAGTTGAATTGAAATGTGCCTTTATTTCACAGCCTGTGATTACTCTTCAGGAGGTTGGGTAGGGGGGAAGGATTTAATTCCTCTCTCGAGCAGCCAGGCTTATTTAACAGGGGAGAGACTGAGCCTCGGATTTGGCTTCCCCTCCCTGCTTTGTGTTTTAAGCTGTTGGTTTGTGAAAAGCCCAGTTTATACAAGGAGAAGACTTGAAGCAAGGCCAGGCTGGGACTCCCAGAAGAGCCGTGTGTGGTCACCTCCTGGACCCGCCTGGTTTCTGCTTCCCAGTGGATTATTTGGACGTTATTATTTGGACAAGTTTACTCAAACCTGTGCACTGGGGCTCAGCACAGGTCATGCTGACACACAGCAGCTCTGTGGGCTGTGCTTTGGAGATGAGGGGTGAGCTGGACTTGCAACGAGCTGCGACCGCTGGAGCAGGTGAAATAGTCTGTGTGTGAAGAGTGAATGTGTGGGGATTAAGCTTACAAAAAAACAACCCCCTCTCTCCCCCAAAAGACCCCCCAAAAAAATGACTAAGAGGAAGATTTTCAACTCTACGGTTCCTGAAGCTGCTTCACCTGTGGTGTCTTACGGGATTCTTTTGCACTCCTTGGCCTTAAATGTTCTGATTTGGTCTTTTTTATAAAGTAAAAGACGTGCTCTTTACCTGTGTTGTGTCCTTCACCTTCCTGCTCGCATCAGTTTGGGAATCCAGGGTGGCTGATTCTTGCTTTGCCAGGTAGACAAAGATTTTTCCATCCATTTGGCAGCTCCAGGGGGATTGTTCAGAGGGCTGAACGCCCGGCTGCAAATTAAGGAGCCTCTGGGGAAGTGCCTGTTGGCATGCAGGGAAACCTGGGCCTTCCCTGAGGGTTGATGCTGGAACTGAGCTCTGGAAAACCTGAGCCTGGGGCCAGAATTTCCATCTTGTCCCTGTGATGTCGCCAGGCCTTGGTAGGAAGTGCAGGAATCGCTCGGGAGCTGCTGCTGTCCCTGATGTCTGGGCAGGATCAGCTCGGGGAGGGAGGTTGGCTCAGCCTCCGACCCTGTGACTTGAAGGACCAGTTCTGCACTTCCCAATTTCACTACAAAAGCTCAGGATAACCTGCAGAGCTTCATTCCCTCCCGCCCTGACCTTCCCTCGCCCTCCCAGGGCAGAGTACGGGGGGTGTGGGTGGGTTCTCCCCCTGATGCACAGGGTCAACTCGAGAGATGTGTTTCCTGGAAGGGTTTCAAAGCCATGAACAGGTAAGTGCTGCCTTCTCTCGGCTGGGAAGGGTCTCTGGAGATCCCTCTGAGGGCCTGAGCCAACCCACAGTGGTTCCCTGGGATTGGCTTAAGGCAGCTTGGGAACTCTGCAGGGAATGGCTGCTGGAGTGTTAAAGAAATTCCTTTTCCTCACCCACACCCTGAACTGCTGAATTATTTATTCCCGTGTGGCTTAGACCTTGGAAAGCAGATGGATGGACCCTAATTCCTCACAGCCTGCTCCTTGTAGTAACAGTGGAGCTGAGGCTCCTCCTAAAACTAAGCAGTAACATTAAATAGTGTCTGCTTCCCTCCTTGGGGTTTTGCTGTTCCATCACTCTTCCCAAATCAGCCCTGCAGTTTGGGATATTTCCCAAATGGTCTGAGCTGCAGTAGTCATTAATAAAAGCTGAGCCAAGAGCTGCTGTTGGAAAAGAAAAAAAAAAAAGGCTGGGGAAAACTTCTGCCCTATGGAAAACTCTCTGCAGAGCCTGTGTGCCTGCAAGGTTTTGCTTTTACAGAAGGGGCACAGGGGAGGGACCCCGGGCAGGCAGGTGAGGAGCTTGGGATGTGCCAGCAGCTCCAGCTCCGGCGGGTGGCAGCACCAAAACAGCTTCTCCAGGTGACCTGGCACAGGTGTGGAAAGACAAAGGGACCTTTATCACCTGTCAGCCTCCAGCAGGGCCATTCCCAGCCTCGGGAAACATCTGCGGGGAGCCAGGACAAGGATGTGTTTGTAGGGTTTGGATCCCAGCGTCCCTCGTGGCACTCAGCATTCCCCTGCTCCGTGATCTCCAGTAACTCGGACTGAGGTGGGGCTTTGCATTCTTTAAGACACTTGAGCACTGTCAGAGCCCGGTTTATTCCAGGGGGAACCACCTTTGGAAGCAAAAGGGTGCTCCTGATTCACCTTGGCCGGGGGGGGAAGTCAGTGGCAGCGGAGTGTTTGCAGAGGACAAGGCCATCGGGAGAAACACCTTCTGTTCCGCTGGCCCAGGGGCTGAAGTCCAGGGATAGCACTGGGATCAGCCCCGGCCATTCACCCCCGCGGGCTTCGGAGCAGCAGCAATGGCCTCGTTCTCCCGGGGCTGTTTGCCTTCTCCTTTTATCTCCCTGAAAGGCCAAATGACACTCCTTCACCCCAAAAACCCTTCCCTGGGGGTTCCTGTCGCTGCTTTTTCTCTTTGCCTTCTCTCAGCTGCCTCCTGAGAGTGACACCAGATCCCAGAGCCACCTGGAACCAGCAAATTTGGGATTTTCACGGTTGTTGCTCCCAGCCCTGCAGTGGCTGAGGACAGAACAGCCCCAGGATTTTGGGGTTGGGAACACTGAGGGAGCTCTGGACTTTGAACAGGCTGCTCCCACCGTGCTGCCAGATCCAGGCAGCTGCCAACCGTTGGGAAAAGGTTGGGCTTGGGGCTCCTGGTGCTGGATACAGGGCTGAGGAGGAAACAGGGAAATAACAAAGCTACAGGTTGGGCTGGGGGTGGTGCCATGGACTCTGCTGGTTTATGACTGCCCTGGTGCCTGCCTGTGCTTGTCCCTTAGGAGGGGCCGGCGGCTGGATGCAGATCCTGCTGCAGGTGCAGAGCCCAGCCCTGTTCCTCCATCTCCAGCACCTCCAGGGAGCAGCAGCAGCGCCCTGACAGAGCTGAGAGTGGGGTGAAGCTCGTCACACGCCCCAGGACAGCTCAGCCCTTCCAGCTCACCAGCCCCACGCCCCAGGGTTCTGTGCAGACACCAGCAGGGAGCTCATTCGGGGGCTAAAACCTTCAAACCCAGCATGGGCTGGCTTTTTTTATGGAAAGGGGAGACCCTGTTGTTTTATCAGGGCCAAACCATGGACAGGCAGGTGTGTGTAGAGAGATTGGTAAGATAAACAGGCAGGAGGACCTGGAGAACTCCAGAGGCAGCTGCTCCAACTCAGGTCCTTGCTCACCCTCAAGGTCACGCTCAGCTGGGTGGGGGCTGTTTTTTGACCCCTATAAAACTGGCAAAGTGTTGAACTCCTCAAACAAATACTCCCCACCACCACCACACCAGGTGCAGTGCCAGGCTGGACTTTGCCCAAGCAGGATTTGTGCCTGCTCCCCTCGGGTAGGAGGTGGAAACGTTTCAGGGAGGCAGAGGGAAGAACCACAGGAGTGGGATCTGGGATAGCCTGGACTGACAGAGCCCAGGATTTCGTGACACTCTCCTCCTTAGCTTGGCATAAAGGAGACCTGGGGCAAGGGTGGCTTCCTGGTGTGGCCATGTGCTGCTAAGTGGTGAGTGGAGCCTGGAGCAACGAGCCTTGGTCAGCCTCGAGGGTTTAAGGTGGGAAAGGGGTTCAGCAGCGCTCCTGAGAGACATGCAGCTCCCACTGCCTCTTCCTGAGGCAGGGAGAGACCACCAGCCCAGAGCAGGGAACCCAAGACATATTTATAGGCAGCAGAGAGCACAACCCCAGCCCCTGGCAGCAGCCCCCCTGGCACCCAGGCAGTGCCTGCTCCCAGCTCCTCCCAGCCTGGACCCTGGATCCCTTCTGCAGGAGAAACCACACACTCTGCCTGGAAATATTCCACTTTTTTTCCTTTATGTTGCACTGCAGTTTGAACAGATATGAACATGCAGAGTGATGCCACCCGTCAGCAGGAGCTCGGCACAGAGCGCAGCAACGCTCGTCAGCATTCAACAGGGAGAGAGGCCCTTGGAAAAGAGGTGGGAGACACACTCCCAGCAGGAGACATACTCCCAGCAGGAACAGCACCCCCAGAGTCCCCAAATGTCCTCTCCTGCCCACACCACAGACTCTCCAGCCTCTCCTTGCCGTAGGACAGCAGGTTGACCTCTCCAGCTGTCCCGCTTCTGGCAAGAACAGAAGCAGCAGCAAGGAGAAGCAGAGTTTGTCTCTGCTGCAATAGCTGTGGGTTTGAACTGCTGTTTTCCCTTCCCAAGGAGGCAGAAGGAGAATTATTTCACAAAATAAACTGACCCTTGTTTTCCCAAGAGAGCAGGAGGGAGTAAAACTCAGGAGGTACCTGTGCCAAACTGAACTGGCAAGGAGTGGATGAGCAGCTCTGAAGAGCCCGAGGAAGCAAAGCAGTACATTAAGGATATACCCCAAATCCTCTCAGGCCTGGCTCTCTCAGCCCTAACACCCTTTTTTTTTTTTGCTCTAACCCCTCCTCCTCTCCCCACTGCCCTTTGGGAATTGTGGCAGATGGTTGGAGCTGCTGCGAATGCTCTGTGGCCCTGCCTCTTGCTCCACACAGGAGACTGGGGTGACTCCATGGAGCTGCTTCCACAGCAGGCTCGGGTGGGGATGCTGGAAGTTTTACTTGCCCAAGGTGAGGAATATCCAACCCTACACATCCTGCCCCATTCAACGGGCTGACTCAAAGAGGGGGGGGAGAAAAGGGGGGTTCAGTTGAATTTAGCCTTTGAAAAGTCCATTTCTGGATGCTGTTCCATGAACCTGCAGGGAAAACAAAGACAAGAGTTTGGGTGAGTCAGCAGGAGCCAGAACAGCCCTGTTTGGGGAGGGAAGGAATTTTGCTTTGTCCCCACACCCTCCACAGCAGGGAATGTTCTGCTGAGCTCCTTGGGACACACTCCCTGGACTACAAACACCTTTTCCTCGGGTCAGGGGTAGCAGCATTCCTGCCATCCTACCAGGTCAGCAAGTCCAGACACACAGGAGTTATTAATTATCAGACACCCTTTAACTGTTACCTCTTGGATACGTGGCAGCTACAACACTGATTGTGGGGCAGAGGGGAGATTGTGAGGGCAGATTATGATTTAAGATTTAGCCTTGTCAGCTTGAGCATTACTGGGGAGTATCTCCAGCGCTCTGACAGTGAAAACTCATGGAGGACGTGACCAGAGGAATCTGGTTTCATACCAGGTGCAACCTGAATGGTTTGGGTTGGGAGGGACCTTAAAGATCATCTTGTTCCAACCCTCTGCCATGGGCAGGGATACCTTCCAGGGACTATTTGGACTTAAGCTGCCACATCAGAATGTTTAGAGCCCAATACCCTGTGCCTAGGAGTGCTCAGGAGTGATGTGTGCATGCAGAAGCTCCCCAGCTCCTCCTATGACCTGTTCTCCAGGGGATACAACACATCACACCCACGTGGAGGATCCACACACAAAGTGCAAGTAAGGGCAGGCCTCGGTCCCCTCCGTGTTCCCATCTCAGGGTTTCACCTGAAATGCCACCACGGCATTTCCACTTTCCATTTCCAGGGAAATCTGTGCTGTGAGGATAATGTCCTTGTTTGGCAGCCAGGAGAGCTCCACTGGCAGATATCAGCACCTACCTGGGTGTCACAGAGTCTACTTTGGCCTGGACAAAGTCTAAACTTCCTCTCCATCCTCTGCCAGCCAATCTCTGGAGAAGCCAAACTTCCAGAGCACCAGACAAGTGACCTTCCCAACGAGGTGTCCTGCATGTGGACTTCCTGGGAGCAGAGCTACCTCCCATTCCACTAACTCAACAGGCACTAAGGAAGCCTGGTCTCTGCTCTAGTCACACCCCACAGGGAAGCTTCTGGCATTAGAGATAAAGCCAAGGGAAACAAGGAGTCAGGTCAGCTCCTTCCATCCCGAGATAAGATGTGGATCTGCACTTGCTGGAGAAGCTCAGTGACCCAGAGTTGCCTCTACCCCTTCCTGAACGGCCTTGGGAGCCCCAGGAGTCATTTCCCCAAAAGTGCATTTCTGCCAAACAGGGCAATAAAGCCATAAAAGTGACTCAGGGACAGCTCCTGGTGGCAAGTGGCAGGGAGGGGTGATTAGCTGGGCTACCGAGGGAGATTAGACAGCAATCAAGACCATGTTAAAGTTCAGCAGAGATGGCACCTCCAGTCCCAAACATGCATTCTGGACCTGAAATCAGCAGATTCAGACAATTCCAGAGCTAGGCTATTCCTAGAATTCCCTATTAGGCTTTCTACCCCCACAGGCTTTTATAGACACCAGTGATCAGCCAACAGTTCAATGACTACGCAGATGAGAGCACAGGTGGGATTGAAGGCCAACCTGCTTTCTCCTCACATATTTGTGCCAAAGAGGAAGAGGAGGAGGGCTTGGGAAGGCAAAACCCCACAGATTAATGAGGTGTACCCACTTTTTCAAAATGTCTTGCTTCTTCTGTTCATCAGACGTGGGCAGGCCCATGGATTTCTGTCGTTGATCATACATCATTTTCTCCACCATGCTGCGAGTTTCACTGTCCAGGTCTGACAACTGAAAATAAGATCAAAATTGGAACCACTTGGCTCAGGTGAGCCCATTTCTGACAAGGCTCCATCCCATAAAACAGAGGAGTTCTTACCTTTGAGTTCTCTGGATTAATTTTCTTGGTGTTGATCTCCGGGTCTGTGGAGACCAGTTTGTTCCACCATTCCATCTTGTTGATCTGAAGGGCGAAGAAGCAAAAGTATTTTATTTTTCTTGGACTTGCTCTAGGAGTTTTAAGTTTCAGTCACAGGAAAAAGCTGCTGGAATCAAATTTTATTTGACAGTTTCCTAAATATTAGCAAAATCTGAAGAGGGATAAAGGGTACTACTTCTATTTCAAACTACTTCGGGTAGCCTGAATTTTCACAACTGGGAGATCTGGGAGAACATCAGGTGTCGTGTTTGGGATGAGATAAATGGGATTAAAAACTAATCACCTGGAGAGGTCCAGAAAGAAGGCAGTGAAGGACACAAGAAGGGACACAATAGGATCTGTCCCTGGATTTTCATGTCACTAACAGATGTCAAAACGTGCCATTATTCCATTAAGGAACAACTTCAAAATGCCTAATTTCCTTCCAGCTTTTTCTGAACTGCTGAGAAATCCACTGGATATCCTGGATTAGCCTGAAATTAGGCTGAAGACAGGGAATTTGCAATATCCCACTTCCAGTGGCACCAATGACACTGCACCAAGGATAACCACAGTGGTCACCTGATAAAGCCCAGGGCTGTCACTCTCATTCCACCTGGGAAGAGGCAGCCAAGCCTGAATCCTCCCCAAGCCATTCCCTTACCTTCTCCAGGTGCACAGTGACTGTTTTACCATCTTCAATGAGCCAGGAGCTCTCCTCCACCTTCACCTCATTGAAGAGCTCCCCATCAATGACAGGAGAGTGGCCCTTCAGGCCGACTTTGAGGCGGCGTCTCTGGACATCCACCACCACGTCCTTCCCCTTCAACCTGAAGTTCACCTTGAAAGGGATGGCCAGCTGGAGCAGACAAAGAAAGAGCAGATTTTGAGAAGCTGGGCAGTGAATTCTCTTCTTACCATCCTGTGCTGCTGTTCCAGGACTTTCTGCCTTGCTTTCGCAGAGCACAAACTATTTTCCTTCGGATACTGAGTGAGTGGGAGGTAAAAGGATACAAGGGGGAAGCAGATTTTAATTCAAAACATAAAAAATCTGGCCTTTAAAACAAGGCCAAAACTTGGCAAACTACAGCTTCTGGGAATTTTATTCAGTTTACCAAGCTCTCCCTCCATATTGAAATGCTGCTGTTAAGTACAACTATCAAACTTCCACAGGACACTGAGACACAGGGAATCAGCTCCACCACTCTGACCAGCACCTGCTCTTATTCTCTATCTCAAATTCCTCAGATCCTGGTAATAAAGCAGGACTTACATCCAATTCTGAAAGAGTCTGTGTCCACCTATAATTTGGAAGGTCAGCTCCATTGCCAGAGTTGGGTTTAAGTTTTCCTTTATCCTTCTCGTCTTCCTCTTCGTCATCTGTTCCCTGAGAAATTCAGGTGTAAAGAAAAAAGCTTTTCAAGTTTCCATTTATCTTTCACTTGTAACAACAGTTCTTGAGGTTTATAAAAGAATTTCAGGTCAGGTGTTTGTGTTTGATAGCCACATAAACTTAGCCCAAAAATTAACAGATGCTGTTGTTACAACATGATTACAAGAAAAAAAGCCAAAAAGACCCAAACTGTATTGAAATTTTTGGGAACTCGATGTGTATTTTTAAAGAAAGTCAGACTGGACATCCCCTCACATTCACAGGAGTTCTCATGATTGTCCAGAAATATATTTCTCAGCCTAAGGCCAGGCTGGACAGGGCTTGCAGCAACCTGGTCTAGTGGAAAGTGTCCCTGCCCATGCAGGGGGTGGAAGTGGATGAGCTCTAAAGGTCTCTTCTAACCCAAACCACTCTGTCATTCTAAAATAAATTCCCCAGGTGAGTTTTACCTGTTTGTTAGAATCTGATTCAGCTTCATCCTCTGAGGGTTTCACTGGGACACTGTTGACCTGTCCTTGTGCCTCTTTCTTCTGTTCAAAAAGAGAAGGAACACACTCAGCCAAGTGCTGGCACTTGGTGTCACTTCCTGACCAGGCACTAGATGGCCTCAGCCTCTTCACCTCAGACTGAAGAGCAGGACTTGGGAATTGCATCCAAGACTTTGAAAACAGGGAATTTTCAGCCTTTAAAAAAATTACAGGGAAGAGGTACTACCAAGGGGAAGATCCCCTTTGTCCTCACACTGCCACGACTGCAAAGGAACAAGGCTGAGCCATTTCAATGCATTTTAGCACCTGACAACACTCTCACCTGGTTGATTTCGAGCTGCAGCCTTTCTGCTTCCTCATCTGTGAGTTCCTTGATCCTTGGCTCGTTGGCTTCCTGCTTTTCCTTGGCCAGTTTGGCGGCACGTTCGGCCTTTTCGCGCCGCTCGGCCTCCTGACGGGCCTTCTTCTCCTTCCGCTCCTTCTGAGCCAGTTTGTTGTGGTGGTTGAAAGCATCTGTGATCAGCTGAAATAAAGACAGGAACAAAGATACAAGGGTTTTAAAATAAATCACCGATTTCAAACCCAAATGGAGCCAGCTTGGTCTAGTGAGGAGCTCATTTGTTCAATCACACGGGTGTTGTGACTTTTCCCTTTGTTTTCACTCGGGTTTTGACTGAAAATACTGAGATTTTTCAATTGAAAAAGAGTGAAGAAAGAGAAAAGAGAGAAAAAAATAGAAAATATTCAATATTTAAATAATTATAAAATACTTAAATGTAGCCCTTCCTAGTTCTTCCCTACACAAGGTGTGTATTTTCATGGAGATAACATAGGAATAAAAATTCTCCACGTATTTTGTCCTTTGTGCTATTCCAGCAGGACAAGCTGATGCCCAACCCAGCCACCTGACAGCTACTCCACATATCTAAGCCAGCTGGAAGCACAGGGACACAGGGTCCAAGTTTTTTTACCTACTTCTGACCTTACCCACGACTGGGCTTTTCCCAGACAGAGCTGCCACGACTGAGATGAGAAACGCCTGAAAACCTCCCGTGTTTTACACTAGAGGGGCGAGTTCCTCCATAAATCTTTTCTTTCAGCCTCCCTCCAAACTCCCCAAAGGTTGTTGTGACTATTGAGAGGCAAAATCTCAAGGTCCCTGGTGCCAACGGCCACGTGCTCCCCGGGAAAGCTGAGTACACAGGCAGGGAGCCAGAGCAATTGCCCCACCTCGATAAAGCCAGGGGTGCTGTGCAGGGCAGCACGTATGTGAGCTGAAGGCTGCCCCAGAAAACAGCATAGACAGAGCCTGAGGAAGGAATTAGAGGGGGAAAATTGATTTATATATGTTTCAGAAACTTCCAGGGGGGGTTCAGCGCCTTTTTCGAGCAACCTGCAGTTCAAAGCTTTGTAGCTCGTAACCAAGCCCTGAGTGTTTCTGCTTTGTTCTAAAGAGGAAAGCAGGATTTATTTACACAGTGAGAGTCCAGTGACTCCTGGGACACAGGATCCAAGAAGTGTGTGTGTCTCCCAGACTCTGTTCCCAACCCCACAACAATCCATGGTGAGGGAACTGTTTACACTGCCCGAGCTTGTGGGTGTCACCCACACCCCCCTCACTCCACACAAGGGCTGCACCCAAAAATGACACCCAAAAAACATAGTGACCTTCCCACTCTCTCCTCTTTCTCTTCCATGCCAAAGGGTGAGCAGGACTGGGGGAGCAGCTTCTGCCATTTTTGTTGTGCAGAGCACTTTCTCAGGAGGCCATAAAGCATTTTGACAGGTGCCACCCGAGGACATGAACACTTTTCTTCTACAGGCACAGATCTGACAAGGACAGTGGCCAGGACATGCCAAAGCACAGCCAGTGCTCCCCTCTGAAATGCCACTCAGGGTTTCACTCCCTGGGAGCACAGAGCCCCCAGGAATTTGGGGAGATTTGCTCTCTAATCTAAGTGACAGTGGGGTTTATCTTTCTTACTTTCATAGAATCACAGGATGGTTTGGGTTGGAAGGGATCTTATGGATCACCCAGTTCCACCCCCCTGCCGTGGGCAGGGACTCCTTCCACTAGACCAGGTTGCTCAGAGCTCCATCCAACCTGGCCTTGAACACTTCCCATCCCTTACCTGCCTCAGCTTTACCACCTTAGGGACTGGACAGAGGATGTTACACTCTGTGCAAGCAACTAAAAGCTGCCCTAACACATCCCACTGGTGGAGTTCCAGCAGTCCAGGAGAAGGAACAGCTGCTATACTGGTAAGTATAAGAAGGAAATGTTCAGGGAGCCTGGCCATTTTGTTTTTCAATAAATATTTCCTAAGGTGAAACTTAAGTTTTTCAGCTTTGGAGCTGGGTGAGGGCAGGACAGGTGATGCTCAGGCCCCCTGAGGCTCCCCAGAACACTCACTCCATCCAGCCCTGAGCCAAAGGTGCAGCTGCATGTGCAGGGACGTGGACTTTGTGCTTTTTCTGAGGTGAACAAACAAGGTAACCCGGGGTTATCAGCACCCTGGCGTGTCACCGTTAAGTCAGTGTGTCTGGCAGATTTGCTTTCCAAACAAGCCTTTGGCCAGAGTCTGGCAGAAAAACCTGCACTGTTGGTAACATCTGAGCAGGCAATCGTGTGTTCCTCACCTCTGAGAGGGGCAGCTCCTTGTTTCCTTCCTCATCTCTGAGAGGGGGAGCTCCTTGTTTCCTTCCTCACCTCTGAGACGAGCAGCTCCTTCCAACCTTCTTCCCCTCAGAAAGCAGCATCTCCTTGTTTCCTTCCTCACCTCTGAGAGGGGCATCTCCTTGTTTCCTTCCTCCCCTCAGAGAGGAGCAGCTCCTTATTTCCTCCCTTCTGTGATGGATTCCAGCAGCACCACGAGCTGCTGGTGCCCCAAGTGCACCCAAATGCAGGGAGCTGTTCAGGCAGGGAAGTCTTAGCCTGGCACAGACACGGGTGGGATGTAAATTAAAAAGTTAAAAGCTCAAGGGTTTACTTTTTACCTTCTCTGCCACTCCATCTTCTCCCCCCGTGAAAAAATCTGTCTTCCTCCTCAGGAAGCTGAAGAAGGTGTTCACAAGCTGGTGGAAAGAAAAGGATCAGTGAGACCAGGTCACTCCAAGCCACCCCCCGTCTCTGGATCAGCCCTTATCCTTTGTCCTCTCCATCTGTGGCTGTGTCAAAATCATCCTGGAATCAGCCTTGTGACTGTTTTCCTGGAGAAAACATCCAGCTCCTGGATTCCACCTTCCAGAAGAGGCATTTGTGTGGTTTGCATGAAGAAAGGACAGCAGTTAACCCTAAGGTCCTGCTCCAGTACCCCAAGCTGTTATCCAAGGCAGGAATTTGGGCAGGGATACATATATATACACAGCACATTTTGCTTCTTTTGCATGCCTAAAAGTGTGCAAACTCTTTATTTTTACACAATAATCACCAGCTGCCTGCCAGGGGTCACTGATGAGTGAACAGTTACCAACCAGCATCCCCAAACCTCTGTGGGAACACATATTCTTGGCTGATCTTCATTTTCCAAGAATTCTGTGCTGTGGATGTTTCAATCTGAGGTTTCACTACAGCACGAGGGGCTGGTTTAGGAGCGTTTTTTTAAACTATTTGTGAGTGGGATGTGAGTGGGAGGTTCCCACACCCTCCAGCCCTGCTGCAGGGCAGCACCCGAGATCGCGGAGCCCCCTGCCAGGGGGATCCCGGTGGGATCCGTGAGGGGGGTCAGCAGATCCCTGAGCACGAAGAGGGGGAGTAACGATCGCGGTCAGGCCTCACGAGGCCGGTGGTTGTGCTGAGAAAGAGCAACTGAGGGGCTCCATCCTGCCCTGTGGTGACCCAACACAAGCGTTGCCCGCGCATCCTGAACCCTCCGGGAAAGCTCCGGGAACCCTGGAGGCGCCGGGGTCGGGGGTGCAAGGCCCCCTCGTTAACATCCTATTAATTAACTAGCGGGGCTGCCCAGGGCCGTTATCTCCGCTCCCGTAGCACCGCACGTGCCTCCCCTGCCCCACGTGCCGGGGTGGGATCCGGGAAGGCCGCGCCGCGCCCCCCCCCACGCCCCGTTCCTCCTGGTCCTGCCCCGCCGTCCCGCCCCCAGCACTCCCGGTGTGCCGGCGGCGCTACCTCGCGCACGCCGCCCTGGTGCTGCTGCGCCATGGCGAGCAGCATGCCGTCGAAGCGATCCTCCTGCTCGGCCGCATCCTCCGCGCTCAGCCCCATCCTGCTGCTGCCGCCGCCGCCACACCAGGCCCCGCCGGAACCGGAACCGGCGCCACGGAAACGCGCGCGCCTGCTCCCAAAACCGCCAATCACAGCGCGCCGCCGCACCGCTCTCTTCTGGGATTGGTCGAAGAAGCTGTCAATCCGCACGGTGCTTTTAGCGGATTGGTTGAGGGCACTGTCAATCTGTCCGGGGGAAGCGGGGCGCGAGGCGCGGCGCGGTTGCTACGGCGACGGGACGGGCGGGTTCCCGCGGCCCTCGGGGTCCCGGTCCTGGCTGGGACCCCCATCGGGCACCGGGACCCCCCGACACCCGCTGCCGTCACGGGAGCGGCCCCAGCGCTGCCACCCGCCCTGCGTCCCCCTCCCCTCCGCGTCCCGCCGGGGCTGGGGTCCAACGTGATCCCTGGACGGGAGGATTGAGGGGGGAGGTTCTCCCTCCTCCTCCTCCCTCAAATGTTCCCCTTTTCCCCCGCAGGAATCCTCACCCTGGAAGTGCCTCAGCAGTGCCCAGCACAGAGGGACAGTCACTGCTCTGGTCCTGTGGCCACACCATGGCTGGTACAAGCCAGGTGTCCTTGGCCTTCTTGCCCACTGGGCTCACGTTCAGCCGCTGCTGACCAGCTCCCCCAGGTCCTTTTCCACTGGGAGAATGTAAGAATTCTGCCCTTTTTTCCTCCCTTTTCTCTCATGCTGCAAAATGGGGGCATTTGCCCTTCTCCAGTGCAAGAGACAACACCCGTGGCCCTTCCTGGGCACTTCACCAGGTTCCTCTTCCTCCCAACCACAACAGGAGCCTCGCGAGCAAGGCCGGGCAAAACCAGCCGCTGATAACACGACTTCCAGGTTGCTCCTGCCAAGGCCGGGCCGTTGAACTCCAGGGCCCAGACGAGCGCCCTGTGTTTGTCTGTGAGCTCCTGGCAGCTCAGGGGCCTTGGTGCCATGGTACAGCCTGGGATAATGACTCTGTTTATCCTGTTTGGGTAATCCTGATAAGGCCCAACCCGCCGTCCCCCCCTCCCCAGCGATTCATTGAGAAAACGGCTGTTGACGCAGCACTGGGAACTCGTTTGCCCCCGGCCAATCAGCCCAGGGACAGCGGAGCTGGTTGGGTGTTTTTTTTTTTAATGAGGGCAGCTTAATCAGGGCGGTCAAGGCTGTGGAGGGGTGTTTCAGTGGTGACCCAGCCTTATAAGAGCTGGCTGGAGCAGCCACAGGGCTGGCAGAGCTGGGAGGACGGAGATTTGAGGAGGCATTTTACGTCTCTCTCCCACCAGGAGGGAGTTTCACCGAGGACCCGGCTCAGCTACGAGCACCAGCGTGGGCATGGAGTGCGAGAGGTGCCAGTGCCACAGCAAGGATAAGAACACTGCCATCCTCTACACCCTCCTCAGCCAGAACCTGCACCCCGGGCGGGCCCGGCAGCGCTGCCTGTGCCACCAGCGCCGCACCGTCCGGCTGCGCACGCCACACGTCACCTGCCAGGCGGCCTCCGACGTGCTGGTCAAAACCATCAGCTTCATGAAAAACCTCCCTTCCTTCTACCTGCTGCCGAAGGAGGACCAGCTCCTGCTGCTGGATAGCTGCTGGGTGCCTCTCTTCCTGCTGGGGCTGGTGCAGGAGATGGTGACCTTCGAGGTGATGGAGGCGCCGGCCCCCAGCATGCTCAAGAAGATCCTCCTCAGCGGGCAAAGCAAAGGGCAGGAGCCCGAGAGGACACAGCCCACGCTGGCTGCAGTGCAGCGGCTGCAGTGCTGCCTCAACACCTTCTGGAGCCTGGATCTGAGCCCCAAGGAATACGCCTACCTGAAGGGAGCCATCCTCTTCAATCCAGGTGAGTGCCAGGCCCTCGTGGCTCTGCTGGCTGGAGCTGGCAGCTGAACACTGAATCACAGAATCACTGAATCACTGAGGGTGGAGAAGGCCTCCAAGATCATTGAGTACAACCTGTGATCACCCCCTTGTCAACTAGACCAGAGCACTCAGTGCCACATCCAGTCATTTCTTGAACACTTCCAGGGATGGGGACTCCACCAGCTCCCTGGGCAAACATAGATCTCTTGGCTTGTAGCTGCTCAGAGCTGGGCAGGTGCGAGAACAGAGAGGGCTGGTCACCTTCTTCCTAATTCTGGTCATTCCCAAATGCACTGGAAAGTGGGGTGGAGGGATGTCAAATGTAGTGGTAAAAGCCAGAGGACTTTGCCTGCCCTGCAGACAGCAAACCCCAGGTTCCTTTACTTGATTTTCCCAGTTAACTGCTTTTCCTCCCTCACACAGCATCCCTGGAATAGCCACATCTCAGCAGCGCTGTGTACACCCCATTAATGTGCCCTACAGAGAAATAGGGAAGGGTGGGAGCGGGGGAAACCTGGGGCTGTTTTCCATCCTGCTTCATCCCCACCTTCCCCTCCTCTCCCTCACAGACATCCCCGGGCTGAAGGCTTCCCTCTACATCGAGAGCCTGCAGCAGGAGGCCCAGCGAGCCCTCCAGGAGGTCGTGCAGCCGCTGCACCCCGACGACCAGGGACGCTTTTCCCACATTTTACTGGTCGCCTCCTCCTTAAAATCCATCCCCCCCACCCTCATCACGGATCTGTTCTTCCGGCCCGTTATCGGCGACGCCGACATCGCGGAGCTGCTGGTGGAGATGCTCTACGAGGCTCCGGGGCTGTGTGTGCCCTGCTGAGCACCCCAGGATGCTCCCCACACCTTGCCAGGATCCACAGCAGATCCAGGAGCGGGGATTTAGGGAGAGAAGCGCTCCGGACTCTTTGGGAACTGCGTGTTTTGTTAGGGCTGCGGCTGGAGGATCCGTGCAGAAGCAGCTCCGGCTCAGCAGATGTTTACAGCGGCTCCTGCTGGCCTCCGTTTCGTGGAGTGTGTGGGGTTTCATGGAGTGTGAGGGGTTTCCTTCCCTGATCCCTGTTCCCCCCTGCCTGTGAGCTCTGGTAGAGCCTGATCCCAGTTTTTCCCCTCAGTCCCTGTGAAATCATTGTGCATTTTGCTGTTAACTCCGAGCACTGAGGGCTGTCCTCAGCTGACAGCTCGATCCTGTGCTGTTTGATGGCCTCAGTGGGATCACTTACACAGTGCAAACATTGTGGAATTAGGTCTGGGTCTGCCTGTTGTGCTTGAAATCTTAGAAACACTCAGGGAATACCTTCGGGGGGAAAAGCCAGAGTGTTAAATCCCACAGGGTGTCCAGACTCACCCTCTTTCCCTTAGATTACATCTTTCCTCCATAATTCCATGAAATACAACAGGACTAAGAGCACCTAAACCTGCTGCACCTCATTTTGGGCTCTGGGCTTACCTGTTTGTGTGATAAGTGAACCCTGAGCTGGGAACGCCGTGGAAACGAGCGGAGCTGGTTTAGTGGTCGATCCAAAGATCCCTCCCTGGAGTCAGAGCCAGGTGCACACCTGGAAAACTCGCTCCTCCTGCCTTCAACAGGTGAGGTGTCAGTATTTTATAAGTGAACATTCATGTGGTTTGTATATAAGATGCAATAAATTATTTTTTTAATAAAATGCTTGACGTTTTGGAACAACAGTGGTGACTTTTTAGAAGTAGTGTTGAATTTGGGGGCGGTGGGGGGAGAAAAATCTGCTGCAGGCCTGGCATGGAAAGACACTGGAAGGAAAAGGATTTTTCATAAAAATCCACCTGGCAATGCAAATATGGGTCAAATGGTGTCAGTGGGAGCTGTTTGATGTAAAACCCCTCGGTGCTCCCAGCACACAGAAATTTCCAGGGGCAAATCCCCCTGGAAAGCTGCACCTTTCTCCAGGTGTTGAGCCTCTCCCAGGGTCTCCCAGCGGTGTCAGAGGTGGATGCTCTGACTCACCTGGACGCTCTCCCCGCTGCCAACAGGCTCAAACCCCATCCCATTTTCCATGGCTGGCACGGGTGAGGTGTCAGGTAGAGCTGCACGGAGCCTCCCTGTGCCACGGAAACAGCCGGAATCTTCGCCAGCAGCCTGGAGTACGGGAAAACTGCAGTGTCAGCCTGTGCCTCCACCTCTGCCGCTGCTCCCGGGGTGATCTCAGCCCCATGACAGCCCTTTTCCATGGGGAGGGAGGCTGTGAGTCATGGGATGAGTCTTGGTGAGTCACTGAGCACGGGACACCCAACAGCCCTGGGACAGGGACACCAGCCCCCCAGGGACTACACAGCATGGGGGGCTGGATGCCCCCTATGCCCTGAAACCCCCAGGGTTTGTGACCCACCTTGGGGCCTGGCCACCCCCTGCTACCCCAGGGCCTGGTAAACACCCACACACATGCACTGGGGTCTGGCCACCCCTGGGGTCTGCCTGTCCCCAGAGCTTGTGACTCCCCCATCCCATTGGGGTCTCTCTGTCCCCATGCCCTGTGTCCCTCCCCACAGCCTGTGACCCCCCAGGTTTTCTCTCTCTCTCTCTCCAGATCCCATGAACCCCTCACAGGGTCTTTCTGTTCCCAGATCCTGTGACACCCCAAAGGCCTGTGACTCCCCAGGGTCTCTCTGTCACCAGGGCCTGTGACACCCACCCACTGGGTTCTCTCTGTCCCCAAGGTCTGTGACACCTCCCCAGGGCCTGTGACCCACCCCAGGCTCTTTGTGTCCTGAAGGCCTGTGACCCCCTGAGACCCCTGTGCCTGGTTCTCTCTGTCGCCATGTCCTGTGCCCCCCCCCCTGTCCCCCCCCCCGGGCCTCTCTGTGTCCCCCGAACCTGTGACACCCCCCGCGCTCCCCCCCGCCCGCACCGCGCTCTCCGTCCACCAGGCGGTGCCTTCTCTCCCTCCTCGCCCCTGACGTCATCCCCCCGCGCCCGCGCCGTCGCCCCAAGATGGCGGCGCCCAGCGGCAGCGGCGGCGATGGCGGCCCGGCCCGGTACTGCCTGGTCAGCGGCATCCCCGCCGCGCTCCGCTCCGCGCACCTCCGCGCCTACTTCAGCCAGTTCCTGGAAGCCGGCGGCTTCCTCTGCTTCCACTACCGCCACCGTCCCGAACGCCCGCCGGCGGCGGCGGGGCCGCGCACCTGCTCGTGCCTGGTGTCGGTGAGGCCCGGCCGCGCCCGCCGCTTCGTCCGCATGTACTCGGGGAAGCGCTGGGTCGGGCCCGGCGGGGCCGCGCTGCCCGGCCGCTGCCTCATCCGCAGGGTCCGCCTGAGCCCCGCGACAGGTACGGGCGGACACCGGGGAGGGCCCGTAACGGGCCTGGGGGGGGCTCGGACCGACACTCTGCAGCGAAGCTTGAAGGGTTAACACCCTTTATGGAGCTTCCTTAGTGCTTTAAAGTTACTATAAGGCGAGAAGAGCCCGTTTGGGCCCTGCTTATCCCTCTCGTGCTCGGGAGGGCCCTGTTTTACCCCTCTCAGGTGGCTTGTGCCCCCCCTCCCCAAACATTCCTTCTCTTTTCCAGGCTCGGAGGCGTCTCCCAGCAGCCAGGACCAGACGGCTGCCGGGGAATCTGTGACAGAGGCGGAGCTGAAGCGCCTGCCCGAGTTCAACCCCCCCTCCTTCATGCCTTTTGGGAACGTGGGCACCCCCCTGAGCGTGTTCCTGGAGCTGATCCGGGCCTGCCGGCTGCCTCCCCGGATTATCAAGAAGCTGCAGCTGGATTTCCCAAAGACTGGCTCATCCCGGAGGTATGGGAATGTGCCCTTTGAATACCAGGACACTGAGACAGTGGTGGAGGAAGGAGGAGTTTACACGGCTGCAGGGGATGAGATCACCGAGGGAGAGGGGCCCGAGCCAACCCCGGGGGTGACTCACCCAGCCCGGCCCGAGGAGGAGGAGGAGGAGAGGCAGCAGGAGGAAGAGGAGTCTCACTCAGATGATGTAAGTGGAATATTCCAGCACCATCCGAGCCCAGCAGAGCTGGGAGGGCATGTAGAGCTCAATTTTAGTCTTTAACTGTATTGTATAAATTACATGTCTAAAAAAATGATGTTAAAATAGAATTGTTCACCTCTTGGTGCATGGGCACTGGGAGCATGAACCCCCCAAAAACTACTTGTCCAGAGCAAGGTGGTTGTAAGGGTTGAGCTTAAAGGGTTTGGTCAAGGTTTATCCCAAAGGCTCTGGTGGGGGTTGAGCCCAAGGAGTTTGGCCCAAGGAGCTGGTGCTGCAGAGCAGACCCTGGCAGATTGGCCCAGCTCTGCTTTGCCTACAAATGAGGTGACCAGAGGCTCAGGGCCATGTTTGTGTGCTGGAAAAGGACATGCAGAGCTGCACAAATGGCTGACCTCGAATGCTCCTGGGACTGAAGTTTAGTCACTGTGAGGAAAATGGCCTTTGTGACAAAGGCTCCTGGAGCCCTGGGCAGGGCAGGCTCTGTGGAGCCATCCCTGCCTGGCAGACGCCTGTCTGGCCTGTTCTCCCAAACCTCTGTCATTACAGATCCCCAGGCAAGCCATTCCCGTTTTTTCCTCCACCAGAACTAACTCAGATGCCAAATCTTTGCTGCAGTTCCACCCCATTAGTTTTTCCTGGCAACGGCGGGCACAGAGGGCGCTTTGTTCCCTCCTTTTATTCAGCTTTTCCTTCTCCAGACTAAACAGACTCCTCCAGCTGTTTCTCACAGGCTGTTTCCTGGATCTCCAGCCATTCTTTTGGCTGTTCCTGCCCTGGAAGGCCTGTACCCAGAGCTGGGCAGGCAGCAGTGGAGCTGTCAGCCTGCCCTGTGCCTGTGCCAGCGAGCTGCTTCCCGGGAAACCCACACAATCTCCTTAGGGATCAACTGGAGTGGAATTAATTCGTTGCTTAGTGCTGACTCCAGGTCCAGCACACCTGCTCCTTAAATGGGCATCCCTGCAGTGGGTGTGAGGTGTGGGATTTCTCAGTGCTGACTCTGGAAGTGGCATTAGTCAAGGAATGAGCTCATCCGCACCCGTCGTGTCGGGGCGTGAGAGCTGCAGGCTGGGACCAGCTCTGTCAGCGGGGCTGTTCCACAGGGAAGGTGCTGGGATGGGGTCAGGGGGCAGGGAGGGGGCCGTGCTGATGTCACCCACCCTGTGCCACCTCCCCTGCAGGACAATGACACCTGTGAGGAGTGGGAGCGGCACGAGGCCCTGCACGAGGACGTGACCAAGCAGGGCCGTGTGGAGGAGCGGCTCTTCGAGGAGGAGATCGAGCTCAAGTGGGAGAAAGGAGGCTCTGGCCTCGTGTTCTACACAGATGCCCAGTTCTGGCAGGAGGAGAACGGAGGTAACGTTGGTGTTTGTGTCACTAAGCCCCCACCAACCCCCAGGAGCAGGTTTAACCCCCTGCAAACAGTCCAGCTCAGCTGCAGCCACCAGCATCTTGCCATTACTTTTTAATCTTCCCTTGGTCACAAAACTGGCAACTTGATCACAATCCAGTCACCAGAGACCCCAGTGGTGCTGCCTCTGCCTCTTCTGTGGGCGCTGGGATTTGGGGAGTCTCTAATGCCATTTCAGTGCTGGGCACTGCTGAGGCACCACCTTAAATGCTGCACCCAGTTCTGGGCCCTCACTGCAAGAGAGACATTGAGGGGCTGGAGAATGTCCAGAGGATGGAATGGAGCTGGAAAAGGGGCTGGAGCAGCTGAGGGAGCTGGAGGAGCTCACCCTGGAAAAAAGGAGGCTCAGGGGGAACCTTCTTGCTTTCTGCAACTCCCTGACAGGAGGGGGGAGCCGGGGGGGGGTCAGGCTCTGCTCCCAGGGAACAAGGGACAGGAGGAGAGAAAATGGCTTCAAGTTGTGCCAGGGGAGGTTCATGTTGGATTTTGGGGAAAATATCTTCACTGAAAGGGCTGTCAGACATTGGAAGGGGCTGCCCAGGGAGGTGGTGGAGTCCTCATACCTGGAGGTGTCCAAGGAATGACTGGACGTGGCACTCAGTGCTCTGGGCTGGGGGCCAAGGTGGGGATCAGGCACAGGGTGGACTCGAAGATGTTGGAGATCTTTTCCAACCTTAATGATTCTGTGATTCCTTCCCATTTTGTTAGAGAAAATAGGGAACTGGACTACCAGCAAACAGCTCTTGTGTGTCAGACTTCACTAAAACTGCTGCTTTCCTTCTCTTGGCAGACTTTGACGAGCAGACAGCGGACGACTGGGACGTGGACATGAGCATCTACTATGACAAAGGTATCAGAGCTGAACCTCCCCCTCCCCAGTCCTGAGGAGACCAGGGAGGCTGGGAAATTCTGACCCTGGAGAATCTGGGGAGCTCTTTGCCTCTGTCATCCTTTGAAAGCGTCCAAGACGTCAATGAACTTGAAACAGTGTTTTTCTGGTCTGGCGGCGAGAGTTGCCAAAAAGAACAGGTTCTGCCTCCTCTGCCTGGTGCTCTGGGGGAAGTGACAGAGCTGTGCAGTTTCCCTGAGCTGTGCTGCCCTGACTCTGGCTTCTTTCTCCCTAGATGGAGGTGATAAGGATGCTCGGGACTCGGTGCAGATGTGGCTGGAGCAGCGGCTCCGGGATGGGTTGGAGGAGGGGTCTGTGTCAGGGCAGCAGATTGGAACCTTCGAGAGATACACCAAGGTGAGCTCTGGACACCTGCTCAGGGGCAGGGCAGGAAGGGCTGGGGTGGTGATGGTGCCCAGAGGATGTGGATTAGGGGAGGGAGAGGCCTTGGATGTGGGGAGGGGGCAGAAAGCTCTGGGAAGATGAGGTTGGGCTTTGTCCAGCAACTCTGTGATGTTTTCCTCTCCTCCCAGGGCTTTGGCAGGAAGGTGCTGGAGCAGCAGGGCTGGACGGAGGGGCTGGGCCTGGGGAGCAGCAACTCTGGGATGGCTGAAGCTCTGGATAATGAGGGTCAGAACCCCAGATGCAAGAGGGGGCTGGGGTAAGTACCCAAGTGCCAGCCTGGGCTCTCTGCACCCCCAGCAGCTGAGTGGCTGGAGCAGAGTGGGAACCAGAACTGCAAGGCTGTCCCGGGAATCTGCCTTTCCCTGCACAGCTGGGGCTGCCACAGCTCTCCAGAGCTAAATACACTCCTCTTCCTGACAGTCCAGGGCTCCTTAGTGGAGACTGTGGAATTAGAGCAGGACTGGAACCATGTGCAGGGTCCTGCAGCAGAGACACAGAGGAAGGACTGAGGATCCCCACCCCTACCTGCCCTGTGGGATTTCTGGAGGCTTTGTGGGGTGCTGTGGTTGACCATGAGGGCTGGCTCTTGTTCTAGAGCAGCCAGGAATAGCACAGGAATCCACATTGGTCCACATCTTCTCTGCATTGTTGGCACAGGTTGCCCAGAGAAGCTGTGGCTGCCCCATCCCTGGAAGTGTCCAAGGCCAGGTTGGAGCAACCTGGTCTAGTGGAATATGTCCCTTCCAACCAAACCATTCCCTGATTCCTTGATCATGTGAAGGAAATGATCAGGGAAGCACAGGGATGCCTGGCTGCCTCACCAACCTCCAACCAAACCTTTCCTGCTTCCCTCCAGGTACCACGGGGAGAAGCTGCCAACCTTCCTCAAGGGGAAGAAGCCCCGGAGGGACAATCCCATCCTCATCTCCACCATCTACGACGACCCTGAGCCCCAGGACATGGGGGACCAGCTGCTCCGGCGCCAGCCCCCCACTGCCATGAAGTACAGGCAGGACATGGCCTTTGTCCGGGCGTCCCACCCTGCCCTGGGCAGCCTCAGGTCCCAGTCCCACTGAGCAGGGACTGCCACAGCCTTGGGATCTGCTCCCCAGTCCAGGCTGGCTCCTGGTCTCGGGGGTGGAGCAGAGTGTTTATATTTTTTAATTTATTTTTAGAAAATTTTTTGTTTTATTTTAGAAAGATTTTGTAATAAAAATTGCCTCAGCAGGGGGTTGTTTTTTTCCTCTCCTAATTGAACCGTTCAGATGAGGGGAAGTAGTGTTGTTTATTTGTTCAGTGGAATTGGGGGTTGCGTTTCTGGGTGGGGGTTTAAAACTGATATTAGTGCTGGGATCAAGCAAACCTGAGTGCTCAGTGAGCCTAAAAAGCCAGAACTCGTAGTTCAGGGCTGCCTGAGACCCGGGGAAGGACAAGTACAGGCAGGGCCGGCCGTGGCACCATAACTGTCCTGCCAACAGCTCCCTGCTGGCCACAGCTCCGCGTTGCCTGGGCGTGGCAATCCCACACTCCCGGGAGAAACTCACCGGGATGAAAGGCTTGTCCTGGCAGCCTCCAAGGAATTCTGCGGGAGGCGTTTCCCTGTGGCCGGGCGTAGCGGGTGCTCCTTCCACGGCTTCCCAACCTGCTCTGCCCTGTTTTCCTGACACAGGCACTCTGGAGAGGGGAGAGCCTTCGGCACAGTGACCCAGGACTGCAGGGTTAAGTGGGAATGGGTGAAGGGCAGGCCTCATGTGCTTTCCTTAAGGATATTGCTGTGTCAGGGAGGAATTTCACCTTTACCTTCTGTTGTAGCCAGGTGAGGGTTGGCCTCTTCTCCCAGCAACTAGTGATAGGATGAGAGGACACAGTCTTAAGCTGCACCAGGGGAGGTTTAAGTTGGACATTAGGAAGAATTTCCTCGCAGAAAGGGTGATTAGATCTTGGAACGGGCTGCTCAGGGAGGTGGTGGAGTCACTGTTCCCTGGAGGTGTTCAAGGAAAGGCTGGACGTGGCTCTTAGTGCCATGGTGAGGTTGGGTCACAGGTCTGACTCGATGATCCCGGAGGTCTTTTCCAACCAAGCTGATTCTGTGATTCTCTCGGAAAAAAAAAACCACGGGGGTGGGGTTCTGCCGGCGCCGGGACTCGAACCCGCGACCCCCCAACCCCGATTCGGGGTCCCGGCTTCGAGTCCCTCCGGCCGCCAGGGGGCGCTGTGGGGGCGGCGGCCGCTCCGCCCCCGGAACGCGGCGCTCTGGGGCCGCGGCCACCCGGACCCGGCGCGGGGGGCACCGGCGGGCGGTGAGCGGCCTACGGGGAAAAAAACGGGTTGGGAATAACGGGATTGGGGGGGGGATACCGGAGTTGGGGAGGGGGTATGAGAGGTGAAAGGGCCTGGGCAAGGAGCGGGGGTGAGGGGGAGAAAGGGTGGTGTGAGGGGAGGGAGGGGCGTAGGAGGGAAGAGGGGCCCCGTGGGGGAAAGGGAAACACGGCGGCACAGGGGGGCGAAGGGGATAAAGGGGGATGTGGGGATAAAGGGCCAGTGTCGTTTTCAGAGTGAGGGGCACCAGGGTGTCATCCACCCCAGTGTGGGGCTCAGAGCAAGAAGTGACAGGAGGCAGCTGTAACATCCACTCTCTCCCTGGGTGGGAATCCCAGCAGATCCCATCCCTACAAAGGCAGATTAAGCAGTAAATGGGATTTTTTCCCCTCTCCCAGCCAACAGCAGCAGCAGGAGGAGGACATGACACACCATGTCTGAGGGCAGCAAGGGCCACTCGGTGGCCTTCGGCCAGGTGGTCATCGGGCCACCAGGCTCCGGGAAAACCACCTACTGCCACGCCATGAGGGAATTCCTGGCGCAGATCGGGCGCAGGGTGTCCGTGGTGAACCTGGACCCCGCCAACGAGGCGCTGCCCTGCCCCTGCGAGCTGGACATCTCCCAGCTCGTCACCCTGCCTGATGTCATGGGCAGCCTCGGGCTGGGCCCCAACGGGGGCCTCCTCTACTGCATGGAGTACCTGGAGACCAACGTGGACTGGCTGCAGGAGAAGCTGGAAGGGCTCAAGGGGCACTATGTCCTCTTTGACTGCCCCGGGCAGGTGGAGCTCTACACGCACCACAACTCCCTGAAGAACGTCTTCGCCCACCTGGCCAAGTGGAATTTCAGGGTATTTTTGGAATTCCGGGGCTCTGCAGGGGGTTTGGGGTGGGTGACTGGCACCCATGTGAGGCTTCACATCCCATGGGCATCGTGGGGACTAATGGCTGTTTTCTTCAGGAATTTTTTGGCCTTTCCTGTGAAACAGCTTTATTAGGGAAGGAGGGGAATTTTGTCCTAATTTTGTCCTATTTTATTCTCCAAAGGATTGGCAAAACAGTGGCTTGTCAGGGCTTTTAATGCAGTGGGATTATGGGCAGAAATATGGATTCCTTCCTCACACTTGTCACAGAATCACAGAATGGTTTGGGTTGGGAAGGATCTTAAAGCCCATCCAGTTCCACCCTCTGCCATGGGCAGGGACACCTTCCACTAGCCCAGGTTGCTCCAAGCCCTGTCCAACCTCGCCTTGGACACTTCCAGGGATGGGACAAGCACTTGCTGTGCTCCAGGATCATCCCCACAGTGTATGTGTTTTATCCAGGCAGGGAGGTCGATGTGTGCTGGGACCCTTTTTGCCCTGCCCTGTGAGGAACCCAGGTGACATCCCAGGCCCTGCCTGCCCTGCCTGCACCCCGTGGGACGTGCTCTGGGCCTCCTTGCACAATGGGAGATGCAGATGAGGCCGTGCAGGTGAGAACAGTCCCGCAGCCCAGGGAACCTGCTGACGCGGCGTTTGCTTTGCGTCGGGGCCAAACCATGAATGTGCAAACCCTGTGCAGTGTGAGAGCAAGAAGGGCAGGTTCATTTGCCTGAGAATGTCACTGGGAATCTGCACATTAGAGGTTATTTTCATTGGAATAAATGGATGTGAAATTGGGGTTGCTAAAATAAGACATTTGTGCTGCTGTTTTGCTGCTCTCCCGGGTGCTCACACCTGGGCTGGTTTTTGCTGCAGAAGCTCTGCTGTGACTCAGCCACGCTCAGCCTCAGAGCCCTGGCTTGGAATGACTTCCAGAGGTCTGGGACCACATTGTTACAGCAGCACAAAACACAGGGAATCGAACTGTTCATTAGTGTAATTATTAATTATTAGTGCAGACCGCAGTTGGCTCTCCCAGCAGAACGTGGCGTGCTACAGTTACTGCTCCTGAGTGTGCCATGGCCTGAGCAGTCCTGTGGGGAAGGTGGAAATCTGGAGGCAGTTGTGCTGTTCAGGAGGAGAATTAAACCCAGCTGCCACCCCAAAAAATCTGCAGAGTTCAGGCAAGTGGGGAAACTTCAGCTGTGAAGAGAGAAACCCTGAGGAAAGGGAAAGCAGCTGCAGGTTTGGGTGTTGCTGGTGGAGCTCAGCACCCCTATAAAGCCTCCCCACAGCCCTTCCCTGGATCCTTAATCCATGGCGGTCCGTGGGTGGGAATGGGACAATATACACTTTTATATATGTGGATTTATGAATATGTTCAGCCTGGAGAAGACAAGGCTCTGGGGAGGCCTTGGAGCCCCTTCCAGTGCCTGAAGGGGCTCCAGGAGAGCTGAAGAGAGACTTTGGACAAGGGCCTGGAGTGACAGAAAAAGTGGGAATGGTTTCCCACTGCCAGAGGGCAGGGTTAGATGGGATATTGGGGAGGAATTCTCAGCTGGGAGGATGGGGAGGCCCTGACACAGGTTGCCCAGAGAACCTGTGGCTGCCCCATCCTTGGAAATGTCCAAGGCCAGGTTGGACAGGGCTTGGAGCAACCTGGGCTAGTGGAAGGTGTCCCTGCATTGGAATGAGATGAGCTTTAAGGTCCCTTCCAACCCAAACCATTCCATGGTTCCCTGATTCTGGTTTTCCTGTGCAGGAGGTAGAAGGTAGGTGGTGGCTTTCCCTGTGTGGTGCAGTCAGGTCTGAACAGATTGTCCTGTTGCCACTTCCAGATGGTCCCTAAAGCAAGTGGATGGTTTTGTCACGGGTCTGACCTTTGTGTCCCTTTGTGCCTTTGTTTCCCAGCTGGCTGCAGTGCATCTGGTGGATTCCCACTACTGCACAGACCCTGGGAAGTTCATCTCTGTGCTCTGCACCTCCCTCTCCACCATGCTGCACGTGGAGCTGCCCCACGTCAACATCCTCTCCAAGATGGACCTGATCGAGCAGTACGGGAAGCTGGGTAAGAGAATTCCATGGAATCACGGGATGGTTTGGGGTTGGAAGGGACCTTAGAACTCAAACCCTTAAAGCCGTGGGCAGGGACACCTTCCACTAGACCAGGTTGCTCAGAGCTCCATCCAACCTGGCCTTGGACGCTTCCAGGAATTTGAGGGATGTGGATTGACCTGTGTCAGGTGCAGATTGTCTGTTTGGGAATGGGAATGCCTGGGGAAACTGATGTAAAACTCAGTGATGGTGGGGAAACTTGTGCTCTTCCACTTAAAAACTGCCTTGTTTCCCTGCAGCTTTCAACCTGGATTATTACACCGAGGTCCTGGATCTCTCTTACCTGGTTGATCATTTGGCCTCCGATCCCTTCTTCAGGAATTACCGCCGCCTCAACGAGAAGCTGGTGGAGGTGATTGAGGACTACAGCCTGGTGTCCTTCATCCCCCTCAACGTCCAGGTGATGCAGCAGGAGGGAACAGGGAGCCTTGGATGTGTGGCTGGATGTGTAGCACCTTGTTTATGTCTGCTCAGAGCCACGAGGGCTGAAAGCCTCAGCTGTGAAGAGACTCAGGGATGGAAAACAGGGAAACACACCCAGACTTGTAAATGATCCATGGCAGCCAAAGGAAGAGGAAAGGCTGATGAGCTTGGGGCTACCTGGGCCTTGTGTCCTGGGGTGGGGAGTTCAGGCTCCCCCTTCCTCCAGCCCTTCTGTGCCTACATTTCAAACCTGGGCAAAGTATTACC